TGATGAGGAACATGCTCAAAAAATTTCATCAAAAAATTCCACCGGGAAGGTGCCCAAACGGGCTCGGCCGGACGGGGCAGCCCGTCAGGCCGGCCTGACATGAAGAGCACTCATATATATATATATATATATATATAGAGAGAGAAATCATCTCATCAGGCCGGCCTGACGGGCTGCCCCGTCCGGCCGAGCCCGTTTGGGCACCTTCCTGGTGGAATTTTTTGATGAAATTTTTTGAGCATGTTCCTCATCAAGTCTAGTTTGTCCATACCAAATTTCAGCTCAAAATTCGATCGGGAAGGTCGTCAAATGATTTTTGCAAGTTAACTGGTCCGGAATATGTATTTTCCGGACCAGTTAACTTGCAAAAATCATTTGACGACCTTCCCGATCGAATTTTGAGCTGAAATTTGGTATGGACAAACTAGACTTGATGAGGAACATGCTCAAAAAATTTCATCAAAAAATTCCACCGGGAAGGTGCCCAAACGGGCTCGGCCGGACGGGGCAGCCCGTCAGGCCGGCCTGATGAGAAGAGTACTCTATATGAGATATATATATATATATATATATATATATATATATATATATATATATATAGGGGAGAGTTCAAGTGAGAACAACCTCTAAGGAGAGAAATAAGAACATCATCTAGCCATCCAAAACTTTAATCGTCCGTCTCAAATTAATAGATACAAATTTAAAAAAAAGAATCTGCACATAACAAGAAAGCATGCGTAATAATAATAAAGGTCAATTTGGTAAAAGAACACTATGGCGGTTGGGAAGCTTAAAACAATTAACACTGCAGAACTCCTCCCCCGATTATCGTGTGCGCGTATTTCAAAACACTTATGTGCAGAGAAACTTCGATCAAGAAACCAACTCGAAGGCTCAAATCTGAGGCGCGGCGTAAACTAATAGATCAATCGGGGAAGAAACCCTAGAAACAAGTATGTCGGCAATGGGGAAGGCAAATGCAACTGGAGCGACATCAACAATCGGTGATAGTGCAGATGAAGGTAATTAATATTTATGTATTTTAATAGTATTTCGTAAGAGTGCAATGTTTTGGAAATCGATAATATGAATACTATGATTTGAAGTTGAATCTCTTATATTTCGAAATTGCAGAACATTGAAAGTTTTTTTCGCACTATTTAAACAAAACAGGGCAGATTGTAAGGTAATTTTAAAATTAGAAAACTGAGGAAATCAAAAACTGTTATTAAGATTATATGAAGTGCATGATTAAATTGTATTAGTGAAAACGATACTGATTAATTAATATTTCATTATTGAAATGGTATGGTGAAACTGATACCGATTAATGGGGCACTAATATGAAATGAGTATGTACCACTTTTTGAAAGACATTAAGTGCATTAAACGCATATACAATGTGCATGTTTTTGTGAAATGTCAATTCACTGATTCAATGGCTTTCCTACCCTCATAGAGGTGCATGTTATTGAATGTGAAAGTGGCTTGCATTATCTTAGTGGTCATAGGAGTATACATATTCTGTCAATGGCATGCATCACAATGTAAGACAAGTGCACTATAGAGAAGAACAATGCAGACTTTATTACACCAGAGTGCATGAATTAGCAATTCATGTGCAAAAAAGTATGTCACTAAGCACCAATCAACTGGAGAAATAAAATAATGATACCCTGATATGAGACTGCACTATTTAGAGCATATGAACATATGTTGAGTTCATTAAGACCTGAGTTGTGATTGTTATATATGTCACAGTTTTTTGAAAGTCAATAAGTGCAGAAAACCTAAATACAATGTGAATTATTTTGTGAAATGTCAATTAACTGATTCGATGGCTTTCCTACCCTCATAGAGGTACATGTTATTGAATGTGAAAGTGGCTTGCATTATCTTATTGGTAATAGAAGTATGCATATTTTGACAATGGCATGCATCAAAATGTAAGATAAGTGCACTATAGAGAAGAACAATGCATAGTTTATTACACCAGAGTGCATCAACTAGTAATTCATGTGCAAAAAAGTATGTCACTAAGCACCAATCAACTGGAGAAATAAAAGTATGATACCCTGATATTAGACTGCACTATTTAGAGCGTATGAGGATATGTTGAGTTCATTAAGACCTGAGTTGTGATTGTTGTATATGTGACAGTTTTTTGAAAGTCAATAAGTGCAGAAAACCTAAATACAATGTGCATTGTTTTGTGAAATGTCAATTATCTGATTCGATGGCTTTCCTACTCTCATAGAGGTGCATGTTATTGAATGTGAAACTGGCTTGCATTATCTTAGTGGTCATAGGAGTATGCATATTCTGTCAATGGCATGCATCACAATGTAAGATAAGTGCACTATAGAGAAGAACAGTGCATAGTTTATTACACCAGAGTGCATCAACTAGTAATTCATGTGCAAAAAAGTATGTCACTAAGCACCAATCAACTGGAGAAATAAAAGTATGATACCCTGATATGAGACTGCACTATTAGAGCATATGAGCATATGTTGAGTTCATTAAGACCCGAGTTGTGATTGTTGTATATGTGACAGTTTTTTGAAAGTCAATAAGTGCAGAAAACCTAAATACAATGTGCATTGTTTTGTGAAATGTCAATTAACTGATTCGATGGCTTTCCTACCCTCATAAAGGTGCATGTTGTTGAATGTGAAACTGGCTTGCATTATCTTAGTGGTCATAGGAGTATGCATATTTTGTCAATGGCATGCATCACAATGTAAGATAAGTGCACTATAGAGAAGAACAGTGCATAGTTTATTACACCAGAGTGCATCAACTAGTAATTCATGTGCAAAAAAGTATGTCACTAAGCACCAATCAACTGGAGAAATAAAAGTATGATACCCTGATATGAGACTGCACTATTTAGAGCATATGAGCATATGTTGAGTTCATTAAGACCTGAGTTGCGATTGTTGTATATGTGACAAATTTATGAAAGTCAATAAGTGCAGAAAACCTAAATACAATGTGCATTGTTTTGTGAAATGTCAATTAACTGATTCGATGGCTTTCCTACCCTCATAGGTGCTTGTTATTGAATGTGAAACTGGCTTGCATTATCTTAGTGGTCATAGGAGTATGCATATTCTGTCAATGGCATGCATCAAAATGTAAGATAAGTGCACTATAGAGAAGAACAGTGCATAGTTTATTACACCAAAGTGCATCAACTAGTAATTCATGTGCAAAAAAGTATGTCACTAAGCACCAATCAACTGGAGAAATAAAAGTATGATACCCTGATATGAGACTGCACTATTTAGAGCGTATGAGCATATGTTGAGTTCATTAAGACCTGAGTTGTGATTGTTGTATATGCGACAGTTTTTTGAAAGTCAATAAGTGCAGAAAGACTCCCCATGTAGGTTGTTTGCAAGATCATATCCTTGTGTAAGTGTTTATCCAATTAGTTTTTATAAGACATGAAATTAAAAATGAAACTATCTTACTTAAGAAGATTGCATGACTAAATATATGATAATAAAGTGTTTTGCAGCCATATACGATGGATGATCCTATTGAAGAAAATGAGATGTACAATGTTTTCAAACAGACACTAGAGATGGCATTGGAAGCAGTGAAACCTGAAGTTATACTGGAGGATGTTGATGTGGTAATTGAATTTGAAAATAGTGAGAAAAAAAGACATATAAAAATTATTGCATCCATTGATATTATTAATGCAAATATATAACTATACCATCATTATGTGCAGTTTTTCTTTCGAATTGTGCAACCAGAACACTTTTACAGTATGTGCTTCAACATGCAAAATCAGCATGTCGAGATACTGGATAGCTCATCACTTGAAATTGAATTTGAGCACAAATATTCTGAGATGCCATTAGTACTGGTAAATGTAAATATATTTACATTTATTACTTAACAAGTGTGAACAAAATAACATTATGTATCGTTTGTTATTGATTTTGCAAACAGAGGGACATGTTTGTGGAATTTCTGAGTGAAAGAGGATTGAACAATAATGGCAAGGTCTTCCGTACACCATCTATAAACTGCCTAAAAATGGGTTGGAGGGAAGTGAAAAATGAGCACGAAAACGGACTATGGACCATGAGACACATGGAAACATACAGTGGCCAAGGAACATAAGATTTTGACTGTGGTATTAAAAAGGGAGATGCAAAGTTATTGAGTGCTTTAAGAATGAAGTACCGTGCAATATTGTCCACAACAGAAGTGAATGAGATGAAGGGAAAAAATCTGAACGGAGTGAAGGAGTTTGGAAAAACAAAGAAATGAAGAACTGATGTTGACATTTAAATAATTTCATGTACTTTTGTTTTGGATTTGGTTTGGTGTACAACACTACAATGACATTTAAATGCTTGCCTTCATATCTTTGGTTTTGGATTTGACAATTTGGATCTGGTTTGGTGTTTACAACCACAATGACATTTACGTAGTTTCAATTATATTTGTGTTTAAAGCTAATGTGAACTTCCAGTTGTGTAATGTATGAATGAAATTGAACTTTTTGTGTGATCACAAAAGAAAATTCTTTCCAATATTCAAGTAAATAAGATACTTCAATCAATCACTTATGAATTATTAATTTCACTTGTGTTATTAAATAAGATACTTTCCAGTGCATTATTAAATAAGATACTTTCCAGTGCATCACTTAGGAATTAATGTAAAAAATTGTAGGTTACTAAACATGAGTATCCCTGTAAAATAAAAGTCATAGCATGACATTAGTGTAAATTGTTTAGAGAATATATGAATATGTTAAGTTGAAGTTTAAAGTTGTGAAACAGTTTTTTTGAATTTAAATAAATGTGCATTATTTAGTCAAATCCAGATTAAGTGAATCAGGACATTCATACACTGATAAAAGTGCACAATATCTTACTCCTTAATATGAGTACACATTGTTTGTCAAAATCATGCATCATGTACTCTAGAGGAAAACAAAGCACAAGTTATTGTATAACAGTGCATGGAATTAGGACTTAATGTGCAAAAGAGTATGAATTAGAACTTAATTAAGACAGTTACTTAAAACAATCACAAAACCATTCATAAGCAAATCTGTTATGTATGATTGTTGCACAACAGAATATAAAGATTTGGGTACAAGAACAAATTCACAGCAAGTGTGAAAGAGACATGAAAAATTGAAACTCCAACACATTAGACAGTTTGAATTTGGTTATTTCTCAGAATTTAGAGGACAATTCCTGCTGTCATGGAAAGCAAGCTAGTTACAAGTTCGGCACAGTCTTTTAGACTTCTTGGAAGCTTCAATTGACTTCTCTTTTACGCCATGGGATGATTATGCCGCTCTTCAAAACAGGTCACCACATATCCATGTTCAGCATGTAATCTCATAACTAAACGTGCATTGCAACCAACACGATTTGATACACGACGTCTCTTATTCGAAGGAATATTTTTTGGTTCTGAGCTTTTCAGTTCCTCATTGCAGTCAACAATATTCTCACAATTAGAAGAGCTAGATTCTGTGTTCATGGATTCAGTTTCATCACCAACACAACTGCTAGATTCAAGATTGGTAGGTTTAGGCAGATTTTTGAATCCTTCTCTGTTACACAAAATATACTTCCACACACAAACTCCATCACTACTCTTTCTTGAGGTACTCTTACGGATATCAAAGCCACAAAGAGTAGCATATTGTTTGTAGAATTGAAATCCAACAGCAACATTTGTGAAAATCATACCAACATGAGGCTTACAGCTCTCAACACACATAGGAGTCCAATACTTGGTCATGTTTGGAGAAACTTCAAATTTAGATGAATGACAAGAGTTTGGTGTAGAATCAGAATAACTGAACTCGTAAGTAGAATCTACAAATATATAAATAACAAGTATCAATCAAATTGCTAAATAGATAAAACCTTAGTACATTCAAAATTGAAAAGTGTACCAACAGTTATAAAAGTAGTTAATGAAGCAAAAAGTGCAGCAAACTGAGAGAAACACAATTCAGGTTATTACTAAAAACTTCAGCAACAAAAAGAAGAAAAAGAATCCCAACACATATGTTCGACATAACAACATTAAATCAGATTAAAAGTAAAACCTTCAAACAACACAACAACAATTGATTTGCAGGGAATCAGAAGAAATATGGGTAGAAGATGTTTGATCAGGAAGACAACCGTTAAATTGACAACTAGAAGCGTTTCAATCGACATAAATTCAACAATAATAAAATATAAACAATTAAATTACGAAATTGATCAATTCAAAAAAACTCACCGTGATCCATACGGAGAAGATAAAGTTGCTAGCAAATTTCTTATTCGACGATGGCGCTTGTATTCAACGTTGGAAAATCAATGACGATTGAGAAGAACATAGAGATGAAAGATGTACAGTAGAGGATCCATAGGAGATATAGAAGACACAGAGTAAGATCGGAAACAAAAACGGTTATGGAAAGTTTGATTTGCAGAACGATTATGATTTGGAAGGAGAATCGGGGTAAAAGACAGTACTGCCCCTACACGATTAATGAGCTTAGGGGAAATAATTTTTGAATCTAATGGCCCTAATTGATTCTTATTTCTCTCATTAGATCATATTCTCATATGATCCAATCTATATATATATATATATATATAGGGGAAAGATCAAGTACAAAGTGTGCTTATTGTGCAAATATTTGTACGATGCACCTTGACGTTATTTGCATTGCATATTGAGGTTCAAAGTATTGCACATTATAAAGTCATAAAAATAACAGTTGCACATTAAGGTGCAACGAGTTGCACCCTAAAAAGTTGGGTTTTATTACAAAAATGCCACCTTGCCTTTATGTCCTTTGGATTAACTCATCGGACGGTCAAGATGAGTTTGTACTTTGTAAATTAAGAAGGCTTTGTATTTGATCTCTATTATATATATATATATATATATATATATATATATATATATATATATATATATATATATATATATACAGAAAAGATCAGGTCCCTCCGGAGGGACGGGAGGGATCGTCCGAACTTTACTGTTTGGGGCAGTTCCCGGTGGAATTTTTTGATGAAATTTTTTGAGCATGTTTCTCATCAAGTCTAGTTTGTCCATACCAAATTTCAGCTCAAAATTCGACCGGGAAGGCAGTCAAATAAATTCTTGAAGCTTACTGCACATTCTGCGCATATATAAAGTGCAGTAAGTTTCAAGAATTTATTTGACTGCCTTCCCGGTCGAATTTTGAGCTGAAATTTGGTATGGACAAACTAGACTTTATGAGGAACATGCTCAAAAAATTTCATCAAAAAATTCCACCAGGAACCGCCCCAAACAGTAAAGTTCGGACGGTCCCTCCCGTCCCTCCGGAGGGACCTGAGCAGTCCTCATATATATATATATATATATATATATATATATATATATATATATATATATATATATATATATAGAGAGAGAGAGAGAGAGAGGACTTTTCATGTCCAGCCGGCCTGACGGGAACCGCCGTCCGGCCGAGGGCATTTCAGGCACTTCCCGGTGCAATTTTTTGATGAATTTTTTTTAGCTTGTTATTCATGAAGTCTAGTTTATCCAGACCAAATTTCAGCTAAAAATGCAATCGGGAAGGCACTGAAATAATTTCTTGAAGTTAACTGGCAGTTTATAGGGAGCGGTTCCGGTGAGAACACACTCCTTGGAGAGGGAAAAAGATTCATTTTGGACGCTCCATTGTATCAATCTTGCGGCTGGGATTTAATGGTTGGGCGAGTAAAAAACGCACGTGATACGTGTGTGCAACAACTAAAAATGCCAAGCGTGCCTTAGAAGGGCATTTAGGTAAAAGGCTGGAAGAATTAATTAAGGCGGTTGGACGCACTGTTTTTTAGATGGCAAAAGCATTCAATATAAAACGAGATTCCCTATTATTTCACCATGACCAAAGTTATAAAATACAATCATGATATTGCATCTCCAATTAATTTAAAATGTACGTGTAAATCATTTGAAGCTTAGGAGCATTAATTCATTATATTTGACACGTGTATTTCTCTTGTGAAAAATATAGACAATCAAGTGCATGGAATATTATGTTAAGTGGAGCAATATTTAATTATTAATGTATGATATGTATTAACAATGCATTGATTACGACATGATATTTATCTACACTTATGCCTTTTTATAAAGTGCAAAACTAAAGTATCAATGGTGCTTATGTGTTTATTAAAATGTGTGCAAAATTCTAATGAATGAAATGATATTTTTAGTGCAACTATGGTCGTTGAATTTTATCTCTGCGTGGAAATATTGTGAAGTGAAAAATTATATGTTAAAAGTGCATGTTATTGAAATTGGAATATTTTGATATTAAGATACTAGTTATGCACTATTGACAAAAACATTATGCACAAAAGTAATTTTTAAATGCACTTTCTAATTGAAGTGTGTTCTCGTTAAAATAAATAATACTCCCTCAGTCCCAAATTGTAAGATACATTTACTATTCACTTGGTCGACATAAATCACTCATAAACTTTTATTTTATATATCAAAAGTTTATGAAGCTTGAATTATTTTTTGCAGGTTTTGTAGCGGATTTAATGTAGTTTTTGAATATGTAAATTTTATTTTCTAGAACTAATTTGGGTGTTGACAGGGATCAATTTGCTTTATCATCAGTCAAACATCGTAAACCGAAATGTATCTTACAAATTGGGACGGAGGGAGTATATAAGTAAACTAGCAACTAAGAAGTGCACTCAAAATGCATGCTTAAGGTGAGAAAACGGGAGGTAACCGGGTAAACTAGCAACATTTTATGAGACGAAAAACTTGCTGGCTGGGCTTTTAAGGGGAGAAAACGGGAGGTAACCGGGTAAATGTAGGGATTGAACATATTATGTTGGTTGGTGGACCGGATCAGAGCTTTTTTTGGTTCGAGGTGCGAATTAAGCAATTCGTATATGTACAGGGGCCTATTTGACCCTTTAGCCAAATATATATCTACGAGCGTACAGACTGAGTGCTTGAACCAACCTGAAACTAGGGATGGACTCGGACCGGGCGGCCCGACCCGGTTACTGTTGAGCCCGGCCCGGCCCGGGAACCGGTGGGCCCAGCGGTTCGGGTCGGCCCGATTGGACTGAACCGGGCCGGTTCGGGCCTCGGGCCTGGGCCCGGCCGGGCCTCGGTTCAGAAATATGAGGCCCGAGCCCGAACCGGGGGTGGGCGGTTCCGGGTCCGGTTCCAGGCCGGGCCGGTTCACCCGGGTTTTTAATTTTTTTTTTGGCTTCTTTTATTTAACCCCTAACCCTAACCCTCCCCCTCAACCCCAAACCACCTCAAATGGCCCAAAATACCTAATCCAACCCAAAACTTAAAAAAAATTCCAAAAAAAAAAAAAAATTAATTCCGGCCCGGACCGGGTCCGAACCGACCGGGCCGGTTCACCAAATGGAGGGCCCGGGCCCGGAACCGGTATCCACCGGGCCGGTTCGACCCGAACCGCTGGTGGACCGGGCCACTGGGCCGGGCCGGTTGCTACAGTGGGCGGGTCGGGTCGGTTCCGGGTCGGGCCGCCCGGCCCGAGTCCAGCCCTACTTGAAAATCAATGGACTAACAAGTGAGAAGATATATGTAATGAGATTATATGTAATGAGATAAAAGTTTGTCATCATCTACTTGATACGCGCTAACGCACCCAAAAAAAGTTTGGTTACAAAATGATAGTCCACACGAGAAGGCAGCCGCCTCCACTTGGCATGTTGTCGTTAAATAGCTAATAAGATATATGTAGTATATACCAAGGCCAATGTTACCATTCCCTCATTACCTTTTGTGGTAAGAAAATCACATACTTTCTAAACACACATCTCATCCGTGAGTTGGCTTGAAGTGTGGAGAAACTCCCAGTATTTAACAAGCATGTGATCTACTGGTTTCACGCGATCCCATTTGCCAGTACAAAATATTGCATAGGCATCAGCAGCATACCTGAACCACAATCCCGAAAGAAAGGTTAGCAACAGCTTAGGTACACAAAGTTCATTCATTCACTATACATATCAAAGAATGAAACATACTTGCCAATACCATACAACTGGGTAACATGAGTCCAACTATCTTCCAGATACTCGCGAGAAAACTGCTGAATTTTAACATGCTTGTTTAAGCCTAATGGTTCCACAATGTGTGCAATTTGCTCGACATCAACTTCTGAAGCAGCCTTTGCGTTTGGACACAAATCCAATAGTTTTGGTAGAGCTTTCCTAACCTACATTCGCTCACTATAAGAGATAAAGAAGAGCAAAAATGAAAAAAGACAATAAAATGCTATACCATATTACAGTTTGCTTGCTTCTTCATGACTTGAGAATAAACAAAAAACAAAAGCAAATGCAAAAGTATAAATAAATAAACCTTGTCTTCAACTAGTAGTTTTTCTCATTTTGAGCTGAGGAAGTATTGCAAGAAAAGACAGCTGACTATAATAAAGGTAGGTGGGTCGGTGGATGGATGTCCATCCCGCGCTTGCATAAGGCCTGCTAACCTCAAGCAAAACATCAACCATAACCAAAATGCACTTATAAATTTTGGCAAAAGAGCACAGTATTGTTTACTCCCTCAGTCCCGAGATGTAAAATGCACTTCATTGGGCACGGGTTTTACTAAAAGCTGTAAGAAGCTACTGCTATTCCAATTTCATCCTCCTTGTGGGTAGATAGACAGTCGCCTCATACGTCAAAACTTTTACAGCTGTAAAATGATTACCTCTGCCATCAACACGTGTCAAACATTCAATACATACCGAATAGTATTTCTACTGATTGAATTTTCCCTTTCACTCATGGAGAGTCTCTTATCTAGAATTGCATATTCAAAGCTGTTCCATCTCTTTCATACGGAGTAATTGGGGCCATTCGATTACATAGTATGTAGCATAGTTATTCATGAAGTTTTATCTTCAAGAAATGTGTTGTACCTTTGAAAAAGTTACAAATACCAACGTTTGCAATTGCGCAATGCCATAGCGCCTTATGGTACACCTCGCCTATTTCATGGTTATTGCGTAAAATTGCATTGCAGATGGCGGACAGGGCTGAAGTGTACGTTATGTGCGTTCAGGCGGACGCAATATAACCTACGCAATGAGGCGTTCTTACGGCGTATGATAAATGAAGTGTGCTGCATAAGGTTTTTTGGGCCCACTGGCCCACTTTCAGTAAAAGACATAACCAGTCCAGGCCTCAACGTATATACGACATTACCACGACAACTTTAGTTCATTATCTACGCAATTCTTTGTTGCGCCTTCTTCCCGCTTGGCCTCTTCTACCTTCATCTTCTCATGCGATCAAGTTTTAGCATATCAGTATTCAGAATGTTCTTTCAATTTTTTTACTTCAACTTTCAATATTTCCTCCTTTCAGTATGTTTTTATTAATGTTAATTTTCTCTGTACTTCAACTTTTAATATTTCCTACATATTAATATTTTACCATTTACCTGCGATTGAGTTTCTGTATATTAGTGGGTTTTTCTGTTTTCAATTTTTCATATGTACAAGCGCTTAAGTTTCTGTATATTATTAGTATGTTATTTGAGGTTTACGGAGATCATTACATCATAATGATTTCTTTTAATATAATATTTGATGATTTCTGATGAATGTTGTGTTTTATATTTTAATGTTTATATATATATATATATATATATATATATATATATATATATATGTATGTATAGGGGAGGGTTCCGGTGCAAACCAAGCTTCCGGTGCTAACCTACAAACCAACAACATCCACTGGATTACACAATGCGTACGGTTGATGCATGTGGGATGTATTATTGAAGCGCTGCACTCAGCCGTATGGGATAAAAACGGATAACACCGTTAAAGATGATTTTGTCAATTAAAAGGTCATAGAGGTAATTTAATAAAACAAAAACAAAGGTCGTCCCATTAAATGGTGATGTTGTGATGTACTTTAGCAACATGCGTTCTTTTATTTAGGAAGGTTTGTGATATGAAATCATTGGTTTGACTCACACCTGTCATTTAATTAACCGTCAAAGTATTACCCTCCTAGTTTTGAATGATGAATTATGAATAAAGAAGAAGATATTGCTTCATAATTAACCTTCCATTTTTGTAATAATAAAAAGGTAAGTTGGATTGTCCAAAAAAAAAGTAAGTTGGAGAGGTCTAAATTGCAAAAGTTAATTTATAGAATGAAACGTTTCATATTAAATTATCCAATTTTGAAACTTAAAGATGGTAGGATGGAGAGCTATTGATTGCATAAGTCAATAGTTCAACATAATTTAATTGAAGCACAACATATTTACTTGAAGTGCATAATAAGACTATGTGATATGCATATTAAGGTTATATGATGTGCATATTAATGTCACGTGATATGAAGAAATTAATTTATTCAACCTAAGTAGAAATTTATTATATGTGAGCAAGACATTTTAGGTTTACAGAATATTCATTATATAGCACCACATATTAAAATTATGGGATGTGCATCATATATTCATAATGTCTGCATAAGTTACTTTAGAAGTTCGTATTGATAAAATATGTCAAAGTTGCATTTCAGAAGTAAGTATATTACATTATAGTAAAATGACACGTGCACTTTAGAAGTTCATATGATGCATCTTATTGTTACGGCATTTGCATCGTATACTCAACTCACATGCATATGAGTGCTTAACATACGTGCAAACTGCATATTAAGGTTACGAGATGTGCATTTTATTATTAAAACGTACACATATGATAATATTTGTGAAATCAATTCTTCTTTTTACCAAATTAATCACTTCATAATTATAACATTTGCATATTAGTTGTGCATATGTTGCACTTTCAGTCACATGATATGAGCATTATTTATATAATGGTTGTCATATTGAGCTACTTAATTTATTATGTTGCACTTTGAAAGTCAAGACGTTACATTTTGTCATTATGATGTGTGCATTATAATTTTCAAAATTCATATGTTGCATTTTATCATTATCACCTCTGCATTTTTAGACGTTCGTATATATTGCATTTTAGTAAAATGATAGGTGCATCTAGGGGACCATATACTGCATCTTATCGTCATGACATCTGTATTCTAAAATAACGTGACATGCATATGAAAATCATGAAGTTTAGAAGACAAGATGCATGATATATTAAAAAAAATGCTCTAAATGACAAAAATACTACTCCATATTATATTTTACATACTAAAGCTATAGGAATTTCGCATAAATACGAAATTGTGTGAATTTATATGAAACAATTTCGCAGAAAAACTTTTAGATACTAAAATTACAAGAACTTTGCATAAACTTGTAATTGATGAATTGATATGAAAAAAAACCGACATACACATCGGATTCCATGGCGGTGCTTGGAATCCATGGCGTTTGAATAGAAGAACACTCATCATATTCTATTATATTTGAGATGGAGATTGAGATGGAGACGGAGATGGAGATTGAGATGGAGATGAAGAAAAGATTTGATACCCTAGAGCAATTGCGTATGTAGATGAATGAATATGGTATGAGCAGGGGAGAGAACCGATTACAATCAGTTATGAAAAGTAACGTGAGATTTTTTCCCTAATAAAAACTAAATGTAGAAGACTAATAAGCCCCTTAACTATCTAATCTAATCTACACGAGGCACACGACAATTTAGTATAAATGAATGGCTAGGACTAGGTTTGTAGGTTAGCATATTAAGATGGGTTTGCATCTGATCTCTAATCTTTATGTATATATATGTATATATGTACATATATATATATATATATATAGTCCCGTTCCTATCAGGAGCTCCTGAAGAGAAGCCCCGTGCGGACAAGCCCATCAGAGGGTCTTCCCGGTGGAATTTTTTGAGCATGTTCCTCATCAAGTCTAGTTTGTCCATACCAAATTTCAGCTCAAAATTCGATCGGGAAGGCAGTCAAATAAATCCTGGAAACATACTGCACTTTATATGTGCGCAGAATGAGCCATAGTTTTCCAGGATTTATTTGACTGCCTTCCCGATCGAATTTTGAGCTGAAATTTGGTATGGACAAACTAGGCTTGATGAAGAACATGCTCAAAAAATTTCATCAAAAAATTCCACCGGGAAGACCCTCTGATGGTCTTGTCCGCACGGGGCTTCTCATCAGGAACTCCTGATGTGAACTGCCCTCTATATATATATATATATATATATATATATATATATATATATATATACACACACACAGGGGAGAGTTCAAATAAAAAGTACTCTTCCCGTGCAAAGTGCGAAAATTGCACTTTTACACGTTTCGCTTGCACTTTTTCGTGTTTCCGTAGCACTTTTTTGCCTTTGCGATTTTGGGTAAATTCGGCCAAAACCACGGTGGCAGTTTTGTAAATAAACCAACTTTTTCCGCCACGACAAAAAAGTGCAACGAAAACAAGCAGAAGTGCAAGAGAAACGTTTAAAAGTGCAATTTTCGCACTTTGCACGGGAAGAGTACTTTTTATTTGAACTCTTCCCTATATATATATATATATATATATATATATATGCATATAGAAATACACACACATTTACGCCTCAGCTATACGCCTCAGCTATACGCCTCATTGCGCAATAAGGCTTACGCAATATACAATTCTAAAAATTCGCCATGACTACGCAATACCCAATTCCAAACCTTGACAAATACCCATTAACAGCTACAGACCTGGTGCACGTTGAAAAAGATAGCTTAGTTGTTTGGATTTCCTTAAGGCAAGCTATATTAAATTAATTTAAGGTTAGTTTTTTATGATTGGGTTTTTTTATGGTTGGGGTTTCATATTATGATCCTCCGCACAAATTTATTCTATACAATGTTTTAATTAAAATTAAGAATTACGGAGTACTTGGGTCTAAATATATAGTTTTTAAACCATATACGATATGGGTATATAACTATATATGGTGTATGTGTACTTTGTTGCTCCATAAAATTTACACCATAGTCCGTATCTTTGGGGAAAGTGGCGGTAAATTTGTCCTCCAAAAATAACAGTTGATTTGTTTAAAAAATAACAAACTACCGTTTAATAGACTCACGGGCCTCTATCGTGATTATTTTTGCTCTATAAAACTCTTTACTTTCTTTTTACATCACACTTGCGTTTCATTTTATACCAATGGAGTTCATTGGAGAAGAAAACAATAATGATGCTCAAAGCTCCAAGTCACGCAAAAGACTTTCACTTGATGAAAGG